GTTATGAATGGTACTTTGGACACAGTATATTAAAGTATATAAAAGGAGGGATGGATTTCCCTCTGCGCATAATTCCACACACACTTTCTAAACAGGGGCTTTTCTATTTTTGTCAAGCAAAAAATTACAAACTTAAGTCTTAACTTTAGGTACATTTTATCATACAAAGCACACGCAGCCCATTAATGCACTAGTCCAAGATTCATGCTTATCCCCCAGCATGACTCCATGTTCTTTAATGGCCATGAATCAACTTGCTTTTACAATGAAAGGCTAATTTCACAGGAGGACAGGGAACAGGTCTTAGGCTTTTACGTCATTTTCAATCTATGTTTCTGTCCCTTTTAGCAATTAAACTAATATGTGTTCCCCTCTCATTAGCACAGCAGGCCTATGATGGGGCTCCTGACTGTGACCAAGGTTGTGGGGCTCGCGGCATCAATGAGTCTTTCTCTGAAATATTCACAAGTAGCAGAAATGGACAGTGCCGGCTCCGAGAGAAATAACGGGCGGAGGGTTCACAATAGTTCACAATGGGACAGTCGCCACAGGAGCAGCACAAGTGAGCGAAGGGAGGATGCACAAAAAGCTCAGTTTTGCAACAGCAGGTTGGCTTTGTGCGGTGCAACAAAAGGACAAAATGTGTTGAATTGCTGTTGGAGGGAAAATCAGGCTTTCTTGTAGAGTTGTATGAAGGCCAGCTCTTTAATTGGAGCTGGAAAGATGAAGTGTGTTCAAGAGGGGTAGAAAGTGACAGTTGCCAACAAAGATCTAAGAAAAGCAGGATGCCACACAGGATTCAAATTGGTGAGTAATGTTTTGTCCGCGGCTTAGTTTGACCTGACCTGGCCGCTCTTCACACTCAGGGGAGATGAGACGGATGACGTAAAGAAGACAAGAGAGTAAAAAAAAGAAATGAACAGAGAGAGATTTCAACCGCTTGGTTTAACCTGAAGTTCTAGGATGATTTCTCTCCCCTTCCCCCGATCTGCTCCATCCCTCACTGCTTTGGCTGGGAGGGCCCCAGCTGTTGGGTCTGTATAAATAGCGTGAGGCTTGGGCTCAGACCCCCGGGGAGAGTGGGGCTCATTGGAGAGAAGGCATGGGAACAAATCGGGCTGGAAAAAGCACACAACATACACATTTTGACAAACATATGGGACCTTGCTAGGGATGAAAGTGAGGGACATGTGACTGAAGTTAGCCTCACGTGGCTTAAGTAGCTATTCATGAGATAAGAGAGTAAGGGTAAAAAAGGTAAAGATACACCAACATATTTTTTTTTTTTAAGTGGTCAGTATTATCTAAAAGATAACATTAGAATTGCTGACATGTAGAATACAGATATTGAGCTTCTAATTCTAGTAACCAACCATGAAGTTGGAGAAATAAATTTTTCCTTCCTATAATTAAAAATATTTACAGCACAATTTGACAAACAAATCAGGCAGTTTTGTTGGATTTGGGCCACTGAAGAGAGGAGGAACCATAATAAATAACACCAAGGAGGTGTGTATCCGGCCCTGAGAATAGCAGACCCCCCCACCCACCTCCTCCCCGGTCCCCAGCTTATAACTGCCATTCAACAATCAGATCACACAAGCTGAGTTCAAGCGCAACAAATGACCTAAATATAATTCTGAAAGGCCTTTGGAAAGTCTTCACTTGAAAAGCACACAAAATGATACGACCAGAAGAAAATAGAGAAGATTTAAGGGGTGCAAAGTGTTAAATAAGTGTCTGAATCCTGTCTATAATTTCACTTACTTCAGAGGACAGGAGAGGAAGTCTGCATGTCTTATTTGTCAAGGTGTAAAAAAGGGGAGCCATTAAACCATAAAAAGAGAGGAAAAATTTCTGACAAAAACCCTACATTTTCAGCTTGAGTGGTTTTTCCAAATGAAATCTAAAGATCCAGAACACAGTGTGGTGGTGTGTGCATAAACATACACAGGGGGTGGGCAAGTGGTGGGTTACCTTTTAAAGAGTGCCCAGCAGTGGACGTGTTTGGCATTTGTGGCCCTTGTCCCTCAATTGTACATTCGCCACAGTGGCTGCAGTTAAACTGACATTTATTTTTGCTCTTTCTTTTCACTCAACTGACCAGAAAGGGAGAGCAGAAAAAGTCTAACTTCTTATGCACCAGTCATTACAGCAGATTCTCTACTCCACATCTGTTGGTCTGTCTCCCCAAAGGCAGCAGACAGCAGGCATACTGAACAATGTAGTAACTCGACTGGACACTCACTCCCTATATTTGCTCACCTTTAATAAAAACTATGTGCAATGTCAAAGGATTTCTTCAAATGAAAAATGCTTAAAATTGATATTGATGAGTAAGTGTTAGCAATATAATACTTTAACTGTTAGTAAAATAGAATGAATTTAGCCATTTGGGGGAAAAGGGTCAGACTAAACAGTGGAATGTATGTTGTACTTATATCAGTGGTAGTGTACACTAATTGCTTTACACAGAATGACGATGTATGCATGCACACCTGTCTGTGCATTCTAATGTAGTATGTATGAGTATGTATTTGAACATATGCCATAATGAGTGCTGCCCCCAGTTATGTTTCGGTGTGTCCTGATCTCAGGCACACTGTGCACTCACTATTTCTTTCTATTTATTTTTGTTCCACTTCACAGCCTGTAGCACACATTAGCAGCACAGCCCTGGGACATGCACAGTCACACACACACACACACACACTGTATACACAACTGATCCCACCTCATGAACAACTTGCATTTCTACATGCCTTTCATGTCAGTATATCATCATTTGCTTTTGGGCAGTTTTAAAATTTGATATGTTGAAATATCAGTCAGAGTTCCTCTCAGTTGTGAGGGGACGCAGACAGAGAATGCGGCTAACTGCGAACATTAACGCCTGGAGGCACATTAACACGGACTGGAGACTCAGCAGAGCCTAAAACAGTAATAAAGTAGTAGTAAAAGTTCTTTGAGAAGATGAAGTTGAACTTCTAGGTACCACTTTAAGCAAGTTTCATATTACAGATGCAAGTATTAAGTCTAGTGTCAGTAATATTTTCAAGTATGTGCTGTAGTAGGAAATGTTCTATATATCACATGTGTCAACTCATATATTAACATTATATATTATAATGTTTATCAGCTAGCACAAGACACATCTTCTAACTAATTTTGGATTAAAAGGCAACTTGACATAGGCCAGATCAAAAGCAAGTATTCAACCACCTCCATATGGTCTGCGACTAAAAGCCAACCCTCCTCTCCTTCCACCTCCATGGCTCTTACACCCCTAAACATATATCCTGGTACAGACAGGCCCAGCAAACATATTGTGGTGAGCAGACAAAAAGACAACGCTGGGTCCAGTTCGGCTTGTGCCAGAGCACCATCTGCTCATCTGTTGAGGGGAAGCAGTGCACCAAGAGCAGGCGTGACACGCAGAACGATTAACGGGATAGAACTCCATTTGAAAACTGTAAATGAGCTCAAGAATTAAGTTTGAACAGAATCGTTCTGGCAGAAGGTTACCAGTCAGGCCAAACAGTAGCAAGAAGGAAGAGCTTTGTGTTTCAAAGATTTAGGGTGATGGCTCCATCCACTTGGCCAGCATAAATAAGTTCAAGTATAGAGGAGGAAGTTAGGAGAATGTGCAGGAAAACCTACAATCTGGAGCGTTTCTACGTAACTCAATAAATCAACTAATACCAACAATCAAAGTGGCAACAGATCTAACAGTTTCTCATTGTTTTTCACAATGACTTGGTGCCATCACTACGAGTCACCATCAAGACAAAGGTCCCAGCTATGAGCACAGCACAGCAGCTGTGTGTGTCCCCACAGCACAGCTTTACACAGCCTAGCACTTCGACCCATGTTTACCTTGACTACAGATAAAAATGTGAGCATGTTACTCTTTTACCACTGTCCTACTTTTTCCAACTTAAAAAAGTAAAAAATCCCTTTCCATCTTCCTTCTAACCCAACTAAAATGCGCTCTTTATTCATGATTGGATAATGTTAATATTATAATTGGGCAGATATGTGGTTATATTTATAAACTGCAGGCATTTGGCTTCCCTCTAGTTATTTGACAAATTCAGTTTCGATATAATTGAAGATAATACACACTTTCTAAATTTGGTGTACTCTGAAACTGCAGTTAATGCATAATGTGTCCCTCTAGTGCCTGGATATTGAAATAACAACTGCACAGCTTAAGCCTGGCTGCTCATCAATTAAATCAATTAAACAATTAACAATTAAACTTAATAAATTTACATCCATTACAGCTGTTTACATTATACAATGTTCAAACTGCTGTGGTGTTGTGCAAAAGCTGAATGGCACTCCTACACTTACTCAAAAAAACAGATAACAGAAAAAAGACAGAATAGTAATTTCATCCCAGATCTTCAAATGGCTAAGTCTTGAGCAAAGAGAGATGGCTGAAAATGTCTCCTTTTTGATGAGGCACTGCTTTCTAACAAGGAAAGGACATTGTGGAAAATACCATTGAAAAGAGTGGAGGCGACTTCAATCAGGCAAGAATGTCAAGGAACAACAAGACTTTAGAGTCTGTCTGAAGGACAGAATATGTGAGGAGCAGGGAGAGTGAGCAGTGACCTGACTGCCAATGACACCGGACCCCTATTGAAAAGTTCACCCACGGCCCAGGACGGACACTGACACATTTACCTCTAGGCTCGGCCTTTCCCAAAACATTATGAAAAGTTTAGAGCTCCAGCCACTACTCTGGCAGATTGAGAGCAAAGCTTTTGTTTCTATTATATATAACATTATAAAAGATGAAGTCAGTGCGAGAAGCTGTGCACTTGGCACTGCCAGAGAAAACTGGCAGACTGAGCCAGCTTTAGGTCAAGGCATTATACGGTTAGTTTGAAAAAGGGGAGAAGAGGACATGCTGTTACTCATCATGTGGCCTTGTAGGTTTGATAGCAATGTATATCAATATCAATATCAATGATTATGAGCTGCAGACTTACCAGTATCCCAGGACATTGCTTCTGTTCCATCCTTCAGGACCTGGTCACCACAGATCCTGGTTGTCTGTGCCGGTGGTGAGGAGGATGGTGCCGCCTGTCTGTGCACTGTGGACTTCTGGGAGATGTTGCGGAGCACTTGAGTGTCTTGAGCCGGCCGTGTCACAGTCCTCCTCTGCCTCGCCTCTGTTGTTGGGAGTGGAGCTGGAGTGGCGTCGCTGCTTTGTGTTAATTCTGCCCTAATCCAGGAACTTTTCTATGCTGTGAAAGGAACATGTGACAAGCAGAGAGGGGTGGAGGGAAAGAGTGGGGGTGGGATGGAGGGTTAGGCAACAGTTTTAGTTATTTGTGCTATTCAGACACATTCTGGGGTTCACATTCTGAATCTCAGGAATCTCAAATAAATATGACAATCTCTTATTAAGGTGCAAAACTTCTGTATGAATCTGATTGGGAGAAACATTCCTCCCAGATTTGCATTTTGTAGCAAAGCAGTTGCAATAACAAAGTGGCCTTTTGTGTAAAGAGATTAACTGTTAGGGGAACGTTTAGACTTCCCATTGACCACGGCTGTATGGAAGCCAAACTGGAAAAGAACACTCAAAAACATCACAAATTCAGCAAAATGAATTGGAAAAATTTTAAAATAGCGTATTTTACATTTAGTCGCAAATGGATGATCCTACTGATAGACGACGGATTTGAGGTCTTGTATAAGGGCAAAAGCAATAGGAGAGAGTGGTCAAATATAGCTCCTTTCAGTAATCACACACACTAACACAGGAGGAAAGTCCTTTGGCCTCATCAATCACAGCAATCTGCACAGTGACAAAAACAAGACAAGAAACAACACTAGGTTAAAAACTCCTCTTCCACACACTGAGGTCTGATACATGTGGATAACAAGAGACACAGATCAAACAATGACCAGTTATATCGGCAGTTAACTGTGTACTACTCTACCACTATTAGGGACACAACAATACAGTTTTCTCATGATTCAATATGTACCTCAATACATATGTCACAATATCAATTTGATTTCGATATGTTGTGCTGCAGATAAAAAAAAAAATTTAAAAACAACTCTTAAGTTTCTACTACTTAAATAATTACTGATGACATTAACATGAAACATCAGTTAGTACAACCACTGTAAAAGATACTAGCTGCTAACGTTCTGTTCGTATCAGGGGTTTTATAGCAAATTTCACCATGAATGTGAAGTTTAATTTATATTCTGAAATCTGTCAGTTTCCTATGGAATGATCCCATATGCATTTTATGGCCAAAAGACTGAGAATTCTATCTCTAGGTTTGGGATGTGGAAAATCCATCCATTTTCTTCCGCTTATCCAGGGCAGGTCGCCGGGGCAGCAGTCTAAGAAGGGACTCCCAGACTTCCTTCACCCCAGACCTGCCCTCCAGCTCCTCCGGGGGAACCCCGAGGTGTTCCCAGGCCAGCCGAGAGACATAGTCCCTCCAGTGTGTCCTGGGTCTTCCCTGGAGCGTCCTCCTGGTGGGACATGCCCGGAACACCTCCCGAGGGAGGCGCCCAGGAGGCACCCAGAACAGATGCCCGAGCCACCTCAACTGGCTCCTCTCGACGTGGAGGAGCAGCGGCTTTACTCCGAGCTCCTCCCCTGTGACTGAGCTCCTCACCCTATCTCTAAGGGAGTGCCCAGCCACCCTGCGGAGGAAACTCATGGCCGTTAAATCAAGAGCTTTGCCTTTCGACTCAGCTCCCCCTTCACTACAGCGGTCCGTTACAGCGACCACATTATTGCAGACGCTGGATGTGGAACATTTTTTCTGTTATTTATAGCAGGTGATCTGTTGGTGACACAGAGCTCATCTTGGGTTAATTTGAAGCTGGCAATTTTTATTTTATTTTTTTTACATATAAAACTGTAATTCAATTCAGTTCAGAGGTTTCATCCTGGAGAATGGCATTTTCGTATTTATTTACATAAATTGTCTAATAATAGTAAAATGAAATGTATAAACCTCTGTAAGGTTATATTGTTGTATTCTTCATCAAGTATGCATTCTTTGTTCCTAATTTCACGACTGTGTGATACTGTATTTGACTACAGCACCACTTAAAACCCCAAACTCATAATGTCCCAAGGTGTGCACTAATGAAAAATAATACTAAGGGAAATGTAGCAAAATAATCATGGTGGAGGGTTCTGGCTTCCTGACTAACAATAGTTAATAGTTTTACAGCCGTACCTTCAGTAAAAAAGTAAACAATTAATGTCGTAGGAGATTCAAGGTACGCACAGTGCGTACAGGACTACCCCTGCAGGGGCCACTGACTCGCTGCATCTGGGGAGGACAGTTTTCCTTCTGGAACAAAATAAATAACACAGTGCGAAAGGAAGGACATGTGCCCATCTAGAGAACATGTATCAAATCGTGACACCAGTACTGAAAGATTCAATATTAAATAAAATATCCAATATTTCTCAAATATAACAATATGTATTAAGCCTGACTCGAGTTAACTCTATGTATATGTGTCTCTGGTCCCTGGACAGTCTAGGCTCTTGCTGGAGGAGACCTTGTCTCCATGGAGATACAATTGATCTATCTTATATTTGTTCAATTGCAGGTGTTTCTATTTAAAAAAAAAAAAAAACAGCAAACTTGAAAAACTCCAAAAGAAATGTTACATAGTGCACCTTTAAGGTCAGGAGAGGTCAAAACTACAGCTTCTCAAAGAGTCTAGCTATTTGTTTATACTTCAAAGGGTTCAGAAAAAGCTTCTGTTTTAATTGGGGATAATTATGGTCAGGCGTTCAAGGGAAAATCAGCTGGAATGATAATGAAAACTCAAACCTAACTGGCTGAAACCCACTACTCTATAATTCTAGGTCAGGTGTCCTGTCTCTATCAGGTCACAGGTCATAAATAACAAGAAAATCTTGTTACATAACAAGGAAACCTTGTTTTATATCAACTGCAAACATTTATTGCTATCTGGGAACATAATAGTTTTACAGAAGTGCCTTAAGTAAAAAAGTTTTTAAAAAGTTAATAATTTGGTCATTAATCACTATTGCACACCTCCATGCGTAAAGTTGTAGGACATTCAAGGTACACACAGTGTGTACCAGAGTACCCCTGTAGGTGCCACCTACTTGCTGCATCTGGGGGAGTCACCACGTTAACTGTTTCCCTTCCAGACCAAAAAAAATTACAAAACAGCACACACAGAGAGTCATGTGTATCGAATCGTGCCACCCCTATCGAACGATTTCATATTATACTGAATATTGTTGTATCCTTAACCAATATGTATTAAGCATAAATCGAGTTAATTTAATCCCAGTGTCTGGCAGAAGAGACAGATGCAAGTTTACTAACCACCTAGGCACAGATTGTGTAAAAATTGTGTTTGCCACATATTGATCTATTTTAGGGCCAGTACCTGTTAATTAACATTTCTGTAAATATGACAGAATTATCCCAAAAGGATATTTTGTCTCTAGTCTCTGGACAGACTAAAGGCTCTTTCTGGAGGAGACCTTGTCTCCATGGAAATACAACTAGTCTATCTTATATTTGTTCAATTACAGGTGTTTCCATTGCAAAAAGCAGCAAACTTGAAAATCGCTCTCCAAAATAAATGTTACATAGCGACAAGGTCAAGAGAGGTCAAACTATAAGCTTCTCGAAGAGCCTAGCCATTTGTTTATACTCCAAAGAGTTCAGAAACAGCTTCAGTTTAATTTGGGGGTAATTTTAGTCAGGTGGTAATTTTAGTCAGGGGAAAATCAGCTGGAATGATAATGAAAACCTAACTGGCTGAAACCCACCAGTCTATATGTCAAGGTCAGGTGTCCTGTCACTTGTCAGGTCATAGGTCATAAATAACAAGGAAACCTTTTTATATTAACCATTTCCTTTTTGGTCACTATGTCTGAGTTACTGCAGCAAAAATGATGGATCAGTCTATTTTAGATTAAAAAACAAAATGGCTGCTACTGAATTCATGTTTGCTGTTCTTAAGGCTGTGTTGAAAAGCTGCTTATTATCAGTGATGACAATATGCTGGAGAATGATTAGGACAGAAGCACTGTCTGTGGTGATAGCAAACCTCCACACTGGCAAAGATAACTACCTATGAAAGTAGTGAAAGCCTCACATAACCAGACAATAGCTTTTGTTCAAACAAATTCAGAAAACCACAGCCAAAAATATACTTTACATGAGCAGTAGCAGGCAGAAGAAAAAAACAATGTCTAGAGGTATATCCAATGAGACCCTTAGGACATCTAAAAAGCTTGATATGGGTTTTTCATTTTGAGGTCAATATGAAATCATATAAAATTACAATAATTACAAAAGTATAATATGAGTTACATGACTTCTTGAAATGTATTCATCTGATCTTATTCAGTTGAATAAATTTGATTTATTCAGCTTTCAGATTAATTTATCAGCTTGGGAATTATTTTCTTTTTTACATTTTTTTTATGGTGAAGACATCAACATCAACCAACCATCAATCAATCAATCAAACCATAAAAATATGATTAAGATGATCTAACTGCTGCTAAACCCACAAGTGTTTTAAAATTGATATAATCTGCCACTTTCAGGAAAACATCATCATTATCTTTGGACTTCATTTGATGAATATACAAAGAAGCATGTTCACAACCCAGTCTTTAATATGGCTTGGAACAACTTGGGGAAAAAACAGTGTAGCCGATAATGCATGGATGCCTAAATATAGAATTATTTTTGGTAAAGTTTGCTCCTCGAACTACAGCAAATTTTGCATTGAAAGAGAGTCTTGTTCATGATTTAGTGATGGGGGTAGTGTGAATGTGTAAAACCAGTAGTACATTCATGGCTTAAGTTTACATACCCTACATACTGAAACTACAAACATTTATCCAGATTGAATAGGCTATTCCCTCAGTCAAACTGTTACCTTGTAGTAAAAAAAGTATTAGGCTTGTAGTAATGGCCTGAATGTAAGGTTTAAGTTTAAATTGTTGCCATCTGATAAACTGCGCATCTTTGCAACAGTCCCAAACTCAAAGAAACAAACAAGGTTGTGTCAGACTCTAGGGAAAAGAAATGGGCCTCTACACAAGGGCTATAGAATAATCAAAAAACCTATAACCGCAATAATTACACGAGTTTGTTGGTTTAAAAAGGACATGGAAGCTCTTTCCGCGAATATTTCTCTTTACGCAACCCATCTCAAGTCAATCAAAGAAAAGTTCAGGCGGCAGAGTGGCATTAACGAAAAGCCCGTCTTTTTTCCACCCCTCCCCTCTCTTGCGCGGCTGCTCACAACAAGGAGACCGCTACAACTGCTGCCACGTGTTTCACCCATCAGCCCAGGTCAAATAACCGCACAACATCCTTCGCTAATTTCTCTGCGAACTGGGTCTGTACCGTCCAGTGATTTTAGACCGAGTATCGATAAATATTTCATAATTACAGAACAGTGGTCCATTGGCTTTCTTTCAAGTAAAAGCGCGTTGTCAAAGCCTGGTGACGCAAGAAATGGTTAACTCAAAATAATTTCAACACTTAATTCCAATTACCATCCTGCCCCTGGAGATGATTTCATGAAAAAAAAGAAAAAGAAAAAAAACTTACCGCAAAGTTGAGTTTTCGCGTTTAAGCTTTTCTACAAATATTAGGTTACTCAGGGTCGCAACAATTGAGTCCCTTTCCGTCTTCGGTCGAGCGGACAGCGCTTGGCTCCTCCTAAGCTCTTGAAGGCGGGGGGTAGCTGCAGCATGCGCGCTCTTCCCCGAGTTCGACCTGTCTCCCACACTTGTGCCTGCCTGACACTCTAGTAGACCAACTTATCCAAATAAGCGAACCTCAGCCCAATCCACGACAAAAACAATGACATGATAATTCGACTATTGCAGCATAATTATTATGTCATTTCACACTAATTAAATAATGGATTCGTGTTTAGAAAATTTATAGCAGGCAATAGGCTACCACGTGAGCAGCCGGTCCACCACTGTGTTCCTTTGGCACAGCACATAAACCATTAAGCGGTGTTAAGCCTGTACCGCATCACACTTCTAACACAAAGAGGAGTTGATCGTTGATTTTAAACAGTGTAGCACATACTGTAGCCTATGCATACGACAAAAACACGCAGTCTAGACAGGTGTGGTTACAAAGGTTTGTGGCGCAGGATGAATGGCATAATCGTGTAGTCAGTCACTGGGCTTATGAAAGGTGAATGGCACATGAAGCCAGGGGATGGATGATCCTGATTTGGTTTGCTTTGGCATGCATAAGTGGTTTACCTTGCATGTGAGGCGAGGTCTGAACTGTGGGGAACACACAGGAGCTGGCGGGGATGCAGGCGCAGTGATGGGGAGCTGCACTGGGTATCTGCTGAAAAGGCGACAGGGAATTACCGATTTTAGAAAGTTTATAGGATATCCTGAAACTAAAAGCAAACTAATTGTAAACTATGAAGTTATGAACATTTTGATTATGTCAGATTTAGATAAGGAAACCTAAAGTGAGATAAAACAGATAAATTCTTCGATATGGTTGGCTACATGGTGAACAACAGAATTTCGATTTTATGTGTAAAAAAGCAGGCATAAAATATGAAAACAGAAGATCATGTCGACTAATACTTTATTGATCCATGGGTGAAATTAGGTCTATATGGTTTATATGGCTTTCAGTTTAAGGCTAACCTTATACAAAGTATTCTTTTGTCTTGATATTATATCTCATATTATTGTTGCTTGTTGGCCTTCTATACAGCATAACAACAACTTTTTTTAAACATGCATGTAAATATATGCATTCTTGGTGACTTTTAACCCAGTGACAAGTGATAAGACCCAGAATCCTTTGGGTTAAGTAAACATCAGTGCACAGAGCACACATAGTTTTCACTCCCTGGAAACACATCCACAAGATGTACAAATCCGTCACTTTACTGGAAAATCACTGCTGTTCAGCCATCCTGGAAAGTAAGTGGGTGCAATACAATCTAAAGCCCACTGACCTGTAATAATGAGTATACGTAATGTCAATAGATATGGTAATTGCCACAAAAGGTTGTAGCCAACAAGTGTGCATAAATAGGCCTTTATATGCAACTGTTGTTGAGGCGTAAGATACAAATGGAATCTCCGGGGAGGTATTTACAAAATGTCATTTTAATCAAGTTAACACATTGTTTTGACTACATCTTGTAAAACATGTTTTCGAACTTACTCATACTGTATGTCTTACCCTGGCCCATCATACCTAAAGATGCTGTAGTCTTTCCCTTCTTTAATGAGACGCTACAGCTCGTGTCCCAATAAATGAGTTAAAGGGGACATCTAGTGGGCAATTTGTACTATGACAGGTAAAAGGATGGGATACAACGCTATTGAAATTTCATGTTAAAACATTATTCTTAAAGCCAATTTATATAGGCTCCATATTGTTGTATATAATATAACAACACATGTTGAATCACAGGGACGCTCAACAATGTTCTAACTAGCCTAATGTCTAGACAATAGGTCCTTAAAAAAAGAGAGAGATAAAACAATGCAATGTGGATTATTAACATTGAATTGTTCAATTGCAATGCGTTAAGGCGTTATATCACCTATTTCAGACCAGACGGCTCATAAACTGAGGATGTGATCTCTCGTTCTAACGCTAGAGGGCGCCTTCTTCCAAGTAACTTAGTCCAAGTACTTTAGTCATAGAGGACACGACTCTGTCACGTCTGCGTGTAATTAGACTTAGACTTATAATTCAGTGCTTTAGTAAGTAAAACATACTTCATACACATTTTCAGCAGCATTTTGACATTTTGTTTTTGATGTGTGTATTTCTGCTACTCAAATAAAATTTGATTATTTTACGATCCCCGCTGATTTTCCTGAAAACACCCGACAAAAGCAAAGATAAAATGGAATTGAATATATTTTAGAACCCTTTGGCGTAGGACTGTACAAAAGATCTTACTGATTTACTCAAAGTGGAAATAAGTTTTAACTCGTGCTAGTGTAACCTCAAAGCACAAATGGGCAACTGTTTTGGACAGCACTGTGACTACGTTATATGATATTATACTCACTATACCAAAGAAAGAAATGTATATACAGAGTGTGTCATTTAAGAAAAAAAAGGACTTTTATTTTTTGACAAACATATTCAGTTCAAGTAGTTTGGCATGTCATGTATCTGTCTTCATTTTAAAACCAAAGGCACATTGAGTAGACTATTTTAAACACAATGTTTGTCTCCTTAGGCAAAAAAATAAAATTGAAACAAGAATGATTGTCTGGTTGGAATGAATGCATAATCTACATAAACCCTGATGTCAAGAATATCAAAGTGTAAACAATATAAAAATATACAATATTTACACACAAACATTTTGGGTCCAGCCCACTATGAGCTTGTCCATATTAAAAGGCACGGCTAATAATTTATATCGCCCAGAGAGCAGTATGTGGTTTAAATACAAACTATAATTTAAAATGGCAAGTGTCATGTACAGTTTTTCTACAGACATAGGCACTTGACACAGCTGATGACATTGTAACAGAATTGTAGTGCTTCAGCCATTGAGCTGAAATGTCATTAATTGTCCACCACAGTCAGTGACCATCAGCCTCCAGTGGAACAGACACAAACTGTCCAGTAGTGCTTGACTCCCCATTGGGGATGCTGTGTTGGGCCCTGTGATCTACATGTGTCGCTTCATGTGCAGAGCCAGGTGGTCAGAACGGGAAAAGGCACGTTCACACAAATGGCACTGAAATGGACGATGCCCAGTGTGCTTTCTGAAGTGACGCGTGAGCTCGTCCGACCTGGCAAACTTCCAGCCGCATCCTTCCCAGTTACAGTGGTATGGCTTTTCACCTGAAAAAACAAAGCAAAACATAGATTTAGACTGTGCCCACTCAATGAATAAGGTATTACACAAAGCATTTGGTACACATGCAAAATAATAGGCCAATTCTGTACCTGTATGTGTTCTCATGTGAGCCTTTAAGTGGGAGCTTTTTGTATATGTCTTTCCACATCCAGGGAACTCACAGTTGTGAGTAGCAGCACGTTTTCTGGCCCAAGACCTGCGCCCCCTCTTTTGCTTAATTGGACCCGCTCCTTCCTCCTGTGTGTAGAACTCAATCATAGACGGGGATGAGGGTGGAGTAAGTATGGCACCAGTCTGATGGTCCCTGTGCATGTACTGTCCGGGATAGTGAGGTATGGTCTGGGGGTGGAACTGTGTGGTGTAGTGTGCATTCACAAATTGGCTTTGGTAATGCTGCTGATGCTGGGGAATATGGCTCATCTGTTGTACGTGACAGTCACTGCGCCCATGCATTGGGTGGAAAGGCACTTGAACTGGAGTTTGATGGAAAGGTGTTGGTCGCATTTGACACTGTTCCATATAATCCTCTTCGGAAGCCATCATACAAGACTGCCCAATAGGCTCCGTTTTCACTTTGTATCCAAGTGGGTACGTGGTAGAAGCGTGCAATTCAGTGTACTCCCTTGTTTTACCAGGTGAGGGCTCTCCTGGCACTGCGTAATTTACTTCTGGTGCTAGTAACTCGGCCATCAGACTACGCACAGGAGCATCAGAGAAACACTGGTAATTTTGCGCGCCGAGAGGAGACGTGGAGTGGTCGTTGCAGTCGGGGAGTGAGGCACTACTGCAGCTGTCTGGAGAGTCGGGCAGTGCATATGCGCACTGAGGTGGAGAAAGGCTTCCATCGTTTTGGTTGTTGTTGTTCATTACTACGGAACCAATCGTGTTTGACAAAATAAACTCGAAATCCAATAACTTTCCCAGATCATCATCTTCTTTGGGCGCCACAGCAGGAGACTGTACAATGCTAAACTCCACTTCGATTAGCGAGTTGTCACCTCTTGAGCGGCTGTGCGCACGACCATCCATTTTTGCCGCCTGCAAATTGAACAATAGGTATTCGGTTAAAATATTTGTACACGTAAAAATCATTAAGTTTGTAACATTTTATTGTGTACATGTAGCCTATACCAAAATAAATCTACTTACGTTGTCAAACTGCGCAACGTCCATAGTTTGAACACCGGAGAAAGATACGGGCATCAGGGCATCAGCCGCAGCCATGCTCAAAGTTGATCAAAAAGTCGAAAACGTGCGTCTTCTACCTGCTGAAACCGCGCAGAGCCTAGGTCCTCTCAGTCCATAAAAAAAACCTTCTTGGCCACAGTGGAGACTTCCAGGATTCAGGATGTGAGTATAAACAGTGACTGGAGACTTTTATATACCTCTGAAGCACTGGAGGCGTGGCCAGCCCAACGTACCCGCAACATCCCCCAAGGTGATCAACAAAAATAAACATGCCTATGCTTCGAACAGAAAGGTAAATTATTCAGTTTCTCGTTAGTCCACCTGCCACAAGCTGCATACTCTGCTTAATTGTGCGATCTTCTGTAGGTTGCTTTAAACCTACTATAGGCTTACTATCCTGGAAACATGCTTCCCAACTGTTTCCCAAAATTATGCAGAATATAATGTTAGAAAGCTTGCAGTAAGTCTACATTGTCTTTACTATTTTGGGGATCTGTTCAAAGGTGAACATTGACATTTCTCCTAAAGCAGATAGGGGGCGACACTAACCGGACTTGACTGAAGGAATGTGGCTACTGTACACGTCTAGCGCACCCCAAATCTCAACGGGTTATATATATTATTATATATGCAAGAAAGCTGATATGTTGGA